CCGCGAGGCGTCGGGAGAAAGCGGAGTCCCCGGTGAGGTCCAGCGCGCTTCAGGTCTTGCTTCACGATTACCGTTCAAAACATCAAGAAGCCCACCGGGCCGCATGCATGCTTCGGTGCGTCGATGCTTTCGGATGACTGCCGGTCATACCGGACCTCCTCCGCTGAATCGTCCAAACCGAAGCGTCCTAGAGCCCCGCTGCGGTTCCGAATCCTAGCGAATCTGCCACACCTTCATTCCGTACCGGGTACCAGGCGCGGACAGACCCAAAATAACACAAAGAACAGAGGAAGAGTCAGAGAGCGCGTTTAACTGGCAGAAATGAGCATCATATGACAAGCATCAGAGGGGGTGTAAGGGCGCGAGGTAAGAAAATAACGCAAATGAAATCTGGAGCGAGCACAAAGCCAGCCTTTGTGACTTACAGTGAGGTCCGGTATTCGTTTTTCCGAGCCGATGTACCGTCGGGGGTCTCAGACTGGCACTGTTGCTTGAGCAACCATCCTCCTGCTCCGTCTCTTTGTCAACATCGGCACCGGGAGGGTGAGCACAGCGGAGCGGAGCGGGGCTTGTGGGTGGAAATCAGACACCCGCGTGCGAGTCTGCAACCCGCTCGCGCAACCGCATAGAGACGCTCGCCGCCGCTCGGGCACAACACGAGGCGATTTACAGAGCACAAAGAAAACCATCATGCGGCTGTGGACACTCTTATTGCAACCTGGAAACCTTACTATTTTTAAACTAATATTGCGTCAAATTGACATGCTGACAACATGAATACCTACATTTGTAATCAGACTGGTTACTTTTTTATTACATATTATTCATATGCTGACATGCGGGTAAACAAGTATAATAATTTCATAAAGTTTGATCTTGATTGTCATTTTTAAAAGATTTATTATAATTTAACATTTAATTAGTAGCTTTTCATTAAACTCGACCCCCTGCAGTTCCTTTGACGTAAAATAGTGTTTAATGCACGTGTTGTTAAAAACAATGAATGTAATATATTTTCTCTCTTTGTATTTTTAAATCAATATGGTACTTATGGATAATAAGATTATCCTATTTTAAAAAAGGTGATATTCAAAAAATGTTAACAGTTCAAAAGTAATCTAAAAGTATGTATGTATGTTCATATTGGAGCCCAATCCATATTCAAATTCTAATAGGTTTTCTGGGTTTTTATTTGAACCCTTAAAACGAAATAAAAACAGATAAATGTCAACGTGAAGAAGAAATATTTTAGGTCACTAAGCTAGGTTATGACACAGAGCATGTAAAAAAAAAAGTCAGATGACCTTGTCATCATGCATATACTAATTATATAAGTGCATGTGGTTTTTATTTCTTATATCATTCTGGATAACATGATTATCAGTTTTCAGTCATCAACTGGTTATATTTGATCCTGGACCACAAAACCTGTCATAAGGGTAAATTTTTCGAAATTGAGATTTAAACATCATCTGAAGCTGAATAAATAAGCAATTGATGCATGGTTTGTTAGGATAGGACAATATTTGGCCGAGATACTACTATTTGAAAACTGGAATCTGATGATGCAAAAAATCAAAATATTGAGAAAATTGCCTTTAAAGCTGTCCAAATTAAGTCCATAGCAATGTATATTACAAATAAAAAATTAAGTTTTGATATATTAACGGTAAGAAATTATAATTATAATTTTGACCCATACAATGTATTTTTGGCCATTGCTACAAATATACCCATGCAACTTTAGACTGGTTTTGTGGCCCAGGGTCACATATACCATATTTCTTACACAAAGACAGTGCACATACTAATTCTAGAAACAGGTTTATTAAAAGCATAAAAAAGCCAACGTTCAACATTTTCCCCCAACTGTTCATCACTGTTTTCAAATCAAACACTATTGGCAAAAGTCCAAATCATATCCCCCTCTACCCATCCTCTTCTCACTCACACATTCAGACACAGTCACATAAACAGCATTCGCACACACAAACACACAGTTATTGAATCTCTCCGATGTAGAGGCGTTTATCACTGGATCCAGAGAGAACTGTGGGAGACATAAAATAATGGAGTCACAAATGGGTAAACAGTATGGAAGGAATGTGCTACTTTTACAATTCCAGATATGCATAATGGTTTATATATATTTTTTTACCAATTGGTTCTTCTGGATGGAAAGCGACCTCATTTACAGACCCAGCATGACCCGGGAGCTTATAAAGGATCCTACGGGATGTTGTGTCCCAAATATACACAAACCTACAGCACAAA